ATTCATTTCATTGTTTTCACTTTGATACTACATTCATATTATATCCCACATTAAAATACTCGATTTATTTTATAGGAACACTAATCTTGTGCATTCTTTCAGTCGTTTTTGACGTGCAGTGCGATCGGTAAAGCACGTTTCGGTCGCGTTCGCGTTCGCGGTTGCGATAAAAAACTTTTTTATAGTTTTTTATTTTCGTTACCGTCTACTCATCGTCATCTTAAGGGTAGGAGACCCATCGGGTATTCATCACTGAAGACTACATGTAAGTAGAATTTTCTATCAAACATTTTCTATGGTAAATTTGCAATGGTCTTTTTATTTCGACGATGATACTAATCGTTCTTTTTTATTTTCTGTTTCAGAACATCATTGCAATCGAGCGCGTAGGCAATGAGGTACTCGAGTGTTTGCATCGTTAAAGAAACATCGGAAATTAGAGTCAGTGTTGCTCGCCGTATGGAAAAGTTTCGTTTYTTCGGGTAAAGAAACTCCGARAGTTTCTTTTATTCGGTTTATACGTGTGCCATCGTCATCCTAAGGGTAGGAGACCCATCAGGCATTCATCACTGAAGATAGAAGGTAAATTCATTTTTCCATTAAATATTTCTTTAATAATTACTTGTAATTTTTAAATGATAACAATGATACTAATCGTTTTGTTCTTTTCTCTCTTTTCAGAAGGATAAGTGTTTGATATTTTAACTGCGTGCAATGCAGTTGTAAAAATTAGAGTTAGTGCACCGTGGTCGCGATAAGAAACTCGTAAGTTTCTCGTCATCGTTCGAAACGTCTACGACATCGTCATCTTAAGGGTAGGAGACCCATCGTGCATTCGTCACTGAAGATTAAATGTAAGTATAATTTGTCTATCAAACATTTCTATGATAATTTTTCAATGGTTTTTTATTACGACTATGATATTAATTATTCTTTTTCTTTTTTCAGAACATCATTGCAATTCGTGCGCGAAGCAATGTACCGGGAGTGTTTGATCGTTTATAAATATAATTAAAATCACGGATTAGAAGCACGTTCGCACGTTAATAAAAAATTCGGTCGCGTTCCGCGTTTCGCGTTCGCGATTTTATTAAAATTTCTATGTTAAATTAACTGCGAGCAATGCAGTTAATTGCACTTAGAATTTGTTCGTATATGAAGCTATAGTTTTTTAATTTTAAAAACAGTCGTACAGGCTGTTCGCGAAGTAGAGTCAGTGAAGTGCATCAGTGAAGTGCATCAGTGAAGTGCATCAGTGAAGTGACCGCGTATCGGGAGTGAAATTTTTGTGTTTGCATTGACTGCGTGCAATGCAGTCTTTGAAGTAGATTGTAGAGTCAGTGTTTGTACGAGTAATTAAAGTAACATTTTTATCGCGAAGTAGAGTCAGTGACCGGGCGCAAATTAAATTCAAATCATACGCGTATGTAGAGTCAGTGTTGTACGCCGTGTAAGAAAAATTTCGGTTTCGCGATAAGAAACTCTTTTATAGTTTCTTATATTCGTTTATCGCGTTATTAGAGTCACGGGAGTGCGAGGAAAAGTGCATCGAGGAATTCTCCGATGGGTCTAGTGGACGAGGGATGCAGCTGGACCATTTGCTACRAAGTWGGAGTRTTTTGGAGCCACCGCAGAACTTCTAATGCTAATTGTTCATATTGCGTACATGCGTCATTTTATTTTAAAATGCCACATATATGTAATATAACAGTTAGCAGGTCGTGAGTTAAAATTTNTCATTTTATTTTAAAATGCCACATATATGTAATATAACAKTTAGCAGGTCGTGAGTTAAAATTTTAAGTCCCTCCGGTGCTCAATCATGCCGAGGATGAAAGKTCCYAATCGGCACGAGTTACTGGTTGTAATTATTCCAAAAAATTATTGACGAGCACATGAGTTATTCTGAAAAAGGATTACTCCTTTTTTGAAATTACTCATGAAAACTGTATATTTTATTGTATGTTATATTATTAGTTCAGGATAGGTCTTCTTGTCTCATCGGTTAAATTCATTTAATTAACAGTGCARTTAATTAATGCACTTTTCCTTTTTATTACGTGTTTTGTTCGCGTTTAGTAGTAGTGAAATCGAGTATTAATTTACTCGATTTCGTCTAATAAAGCATGTAATAAATGTCTTACATGCATTGCTTCATACTTAGTTTATTTCATCGCGATTTATTTTTCGATATAATAAATAAATGAGCAAGAAGACAAAAACCCATTCGCGACGGATAGATTCTGGCAGTTAAGTGGTGGCTCAAAGCCCAGTTCTTTCATTAGAACAGCCAACTTAATCAAAGGAACCGTCCGAGATTTTTTTATTTTTTTTAAATTCTTAAAATCTTTTTGAAAGTCATTATAAATGACTTGTAGAGTCATAGCCCGCTTAGATTTATTTGAGAACATTTAATTATATATTAATGAATATTTAGATTAGGATTTTCAGCATCTAATTTACTAATCTCCGTTTCTCCCCCCTATACTTTCTACGTTCTCATCTATGCGTGTGCCCAGGTGTTACACGTATGGGTGAGAAACGATTAGTATGGGTTTAGTTTTAAGTTTTTCTCCCCCCATTTGGCGGCTGTCATTGTGCTAGTGATTGCACGGTGTACATTGCACATGTGTGTGCGTTTAGGTATGTGCATTGTACATCGTTTCGTGATACCTAATACCGCGCTTATTATTTTTTAAAGTTATTGAATAAAAA